GGCGGCTAGGGTTTTGTGGTCAGGTGTGGGTGGGGTTATTTATACCCTTTGCCTTTTAATCTCAACCGTCTATCAAGATTAAATCTGGACCGTCCGATCGCGATTTATTGAGATTAAATCTGGGCTGTCCATCGCGATGCGATCTGGGCCGTCCGTGCGCACATTCGATCTGGGCTGTCCGTGCGTGCGGGAACGGATATGGGCCGTCCGATCGCGCGCACGCGGATCGCCCACGTGGCCCGTCCCTTGTCAGCGTTCCCTTGCCACGCGGCGTGTCCTGGTTGGCCGGGGCTGCTGACTGGGCTTCTTACGTGGCTGCTGACATAGCACAACTTTTTTAAATTGCGTTTTGACCCCCGATTTTCGATTTTCTTTTCAAAAATACCTTCATAATCTAAATTTTCACCATTTTTTCCCAAAATCAATTTTAATTAAATTCAAATAATAATTTTACCTAATTTTATCATTATTATTATTATTATTATTATTTTCATTAAATTAAATTAAATTAAAATCTAAAAAATTCAAATACAAAAAATAAAAATAATACAAAAAAGAATAATTTGGGTGTTACAATATAAGTGTATATAGTAGCAAAAATGTACCGTTTACCGATGGGATTCACTAAATGTGTCTGGTTTCGAAGTCCTTTTTACTTGCTTGTAATTTTTGTTGACATTTAATTATCGGTGGATGTGAGGTACTGCTGCTGAGTATAAATATGTATATATATATGTATATACATATATGTACATATTTACTTCATTTTAATTATAATTTTGTAATGTTTTGATTTGTTGATCACTCAATTCAATAACTATAAAGGGATATAGTGAATAATTCCAAAAAAGGAGGGTGTGACAACTTCTAAAAGCCTCCTAATAACAAAGGACAAAAATGGTACATAAAAATCAATATATATATATATATATAGGTAACAATGATAAATATATATATCTCTAAAATACCCATGTTCCTTAGCCCAAAGCCCATGTCTCAAACACACAGTAGCCATTTTGCATCTCATCAAGAAAGCAACACACTTTGTTCAACTAGTTCTGAAAAAATTATATTACTCCTTACTCTCATTTTTGCATTTTTTTTTAAAAGTTAATTAGATAATTTAATTAATTTTTGCATCTCATCAAATTTGAATTAAAATACTCAAAATAAACTGAGGATTTACTTCAATTTAAAGGTAATAATTATACAAAACGATATTTACAATTAGATACTATTTTAGAGCTATTCTAAATAAAATCTAAAAAATATAATCATCTTTATTTGCATTGATAAATACAGCACTTTCATTGTCTTCTTGTATTTTTATCAAATTTATATGGCCAAAATTTTATTGAATTAAAATTTTCATATTTTTAATATTAAACACAATTGAGACCTCCTTCAGAATAATTTAGATAGTTTGTTAAACAAAAATAATTTTAAGTAGAAAGAATAATATAAATAAAAGAATGAATAAAGAAAGGAATTTTAACAGAATTCTCCATTCCTGTAACTATTTTGAATGATCACCGTTTTTTTTTTCGCCTTATCTTCAAATTCCAAATTCAATTGGATATTTAATCCACACTTTAATCTTTCCCCTGAACAAACAGATTCTGCTATATACATAAAAACACCTCCTTGCAACTATGAAGTTGTAGTAAGCAAATTACCAGCCTTGAATAGATACATAGATATTTACATTAAAATGTTCCAAACTAAAAAATTGTAAAATACAAGTGAGATAACAACAATAAACAGCGCATCATAGCATACAGTTTGGGAACAAAGGCCTAAGTTATTTAACATCATCATAACATAGGTAGCCATACAGACGGACATTACAGGCAGCTGCTCTTTGGAAATAAGTCATGTCTGCCCTCTGGTAATCAGTTGCATCCATGCAGCTCTTCCAACCGACCTTGTATTATGGGTCTTTCAGTCAATGTGTTTTCCATCACTTCTGGTTTTTGCTTCTATAATGAAATTTACAAGTCTGGATGAGCCTGCGTTTTTCATTAGTCAATTGAAAACAAGTAATGGAAAGATCTACATCCCTTTAATTAAAAAGCAGTACCGGAAGTATTCTTTAACAATTCAAAAATCAATCCACATGGATTTTTTTTTTAAGATAACAGCAAAATCTAAGCAGAGCATTGAGGTATCAAATAAAACTTCTCAAGTGCACAAATAATTCAATTTACCGAGAGAAAACACCAATATGTTGAGTTAAGATATAAAACAAAGGCAAACCTATATGATCCAAGAGTTCCCCCTATTGGGATATGGTTCATTTAGAGGAAGTGAAAATATAAAAGACAAGTCTCACCATACCTGTAACAGAGACTGAGATGAAGAAAAATATGTTTCCAGAAATGTTAAGAAAATTGGAAGTTTGGGTATGAATTCATGGTGGAAAGTATTTACACTTTGCAGGAGTTTGGGCTCATTTTCTTGAGGTTTACTGACTGATCGGTGGCTGCAATACAGGACTAAATTCCTGGAAGCTGGAAAATGGAAGACAAAGGCTTTGGGTTTTGGTGGGATATGGCTATACTACACACCACAAAGAGATCAAGGCTTCTAAGAGTGTAAGAACAGAAGAAGAAATTATTAGACTTGCATCTGTAGAGAGAATCTTGGGGTGGGTTATTTTGCCTGCTGGGAACAGAACCAAATGAAGCCTACAAGATACAAAGTAACCGATGAAGGAAAGACAACAAGCATGTGTTATATGTCTACAGCTCATTCATCAATGTGATTTGGTTGTTTTATCCTCACAATAAGTTTTCCTTTTAACATTTAAAATCATGGAAGCTCGATCATGTGAATGTCGTTAATCAGCTGGCTGCACTTTTAATCAGTGAAGAAGCTTGTCGGTTGGTTCCTTCAAGAAACTAGGTATTTTTAATATATAGCAATCCATTAAAATTAATAATAAGAAACTATAATGCAAAGAACTAAAAGACTAAAAATATTGTTCTCAACAACTTATGTAATGGTGCTTAGAGGAGTTGGATTTAAGGGACAGTTGAAATAAATGTTTACCATTAAAATAGATTTGGTTAGAATTGTCAATATAAAAATGGTAAGAGAAGATAGTTAAAAAAAATCCTCAAAATAAAGTTAGAAAAGTTAGAACTAACAAGATAAGGACCAGCGCCTTGCTGTAACCATGATCTCAATCTTGTTTTTATAAGGAAGCAACTTTAACTAACAAGATAAGGATCAGCGTGCTGCTGTACCTATGATTTCAATATTGTTTTTTATAAGGAAGCAACTTGGAAGTTCATTTCTTTACCACTCTCTCTAAGTAACTTCTGCAAGTATTTCACACCCTTTAGAAAAGACTATAGGCTTCTTCTCAAATTTACAAGAACCACAATTTTCAATCTCAAGTAAATAATTTCTCTCGCTAGAAACAATATGGTGGGAATTAATGGTTCAAAAATGATTCGATAAGGAATTCAATAAGCATCAGATGTACATGAACAAGTTGTTCTAAGTTTAAATAAGGAAAAGGGCATAAGATGATACTTCACATACCCCAGATGCCACTCTAATAAGAGCATGGTTCATCCTTCTTCATCCTCCGACCGAGGCACATTATTCAAAGTGGCCTCCATCTCTACCGGATGTGGATGAGTACCTGCAATCAAAGACGCGTAGATCGAGTCAGAAGTCAATATTCCAAAAGCAATCAAAATTTCGCATAAAATACTAATAGAATCATTCAAATAAAATTAATAAATGTCTTTATTCCCTCTCAGTTTGGATCTGAACATCGCATCCCAGATTCAACACTCAACATAACAAACATAAAGAGATTGCTGCAAAATTAAGAGAGAGAAACAGACCTTTGATGAAGTAATCGGAGGAAGGCCAGCCGCGGACGGTCGTGGTGGAGAGAGACTGGTCGGGAGTCAAAGGATTCGCGAGCTTCTCAACGAGCTGAGCGATGCCGTACGATTGGGATCGCGGGGGCGGGACCCAATAGGACGATCCAGGCAAGAAAGGGAGCCAATCGGGTGCAGAGCGGCGAACGATGATGCGGTGGATTGCGTCCTCGAGCTTGCGGAGGAGAGGATCGGAGGAGGCTTCGACGTCGGACGGATTGTCGGCGTGATTAGGGTTGTGTGTGGATTGGGCGCGGAGAGCAACGAGGCGAGAGGCGGTTGGACGTAGCGTTTTGGTTGGCCAATTACGCGTCAGGGAAAGAGAGAGAGAGCGAGCCATTAACGTTGCTGGTTGGGGTTTGGGAGATTCTTCTTCGCAGCCTACAGAGAGAGAGAGAGAATAGTTGTTGGGGAGGAGGTGGGTGGAAGAGTGGATAGAGCAGAGAGAAGAAATGAGAAGAAGAGTGTGAAGTAGATCAAAAAAAAAAATTAAATAATTTAATATTTAAATTAAAATTTTAAAAATTATTTTTATTATTTATTATAATATTTTTTTTATTACACTTTCTTAATTAATAATAATTGTTTTAACAAATCATTTTATATGCATTGTTAATGTTGCATTCATTTCTGGTTGGACTTCACAATTTTATGTTAAAAGAAAACAATATTATTATTTTTTAAACTTTTAAATTATTGTGAATTAAAATAACATACAAATATATATTTATTGTATATGAAAATTTTTATAAAAATAAAAACTGACTAATTTGACGGATACAAATTTAATCCAAGTGCAAGCCCAAAACCCTTAAGATTTGGATTTGTATGACTCCTCTTAATCCAAATCGACCTTCTCTCTTTTGCTCTAATTTTTTGAAATAGTTAGAATTCATGTATGCATTAGTAACCTTTTACTAAGAATACAAATATATAATTATTTGGTTAAATCATTGAATTTTTTATCATTCATGTTTGATGTGATTTAATTCTGTGCGTATCTTATCTATATTCTAAGAATATTTTATGTTTATCTTTGGGGATGTGTATTTATTCTGAAAGTATATTTTGTACATCCTGAAAAGTTTTGTGGGACAAAAATTCGCGTAATTTCTCTATTTAAAGGTTTATAACTCTATTAATGATGTATGTACTCTCTCATTCGACTATAGTGAAAAAAAAAATTTCTCGTTCTTATCCATAGATGTAGCTATAGCTGCCGAACCACGTTAAATTTTATATTTTTTTATTATTTACTATATTTTGTTGTGATTGTGTGCAGTATGAGAAGTGTCAAAGTTAGCTTAATAAAAATGGGAAATGCCCTACCTTTGAGTGCGGTTAGAACTATTGACTTACGTAATTGGAAGTAACAATTATGTTTACGACGAAACATAGAAATCGATCACTGATCCCATTTGAGTACCTCTACAGGATAGACCTCAACAGAAAAACTGAAGAGTAACGGCAGCAGTGATTGAATTCA